CCTCCTCCTCCTCCTCCTCCTCCTCCTCCTCCTCCTCCTCCTCCTCCCTATACCACTGGTGATGTTCCCTAGGTGGGTCTTGAAACATCTGCAAGAAAACAATCAAGTTCAGAGAATACCAAGGATCCCACAGAAAGAGAAACCCAGATAAGCAGGGATTAACACCATACAAACTATCAAGCAGAAAAGAATATCCCAATTGAGAAAGGAGAAAATCACACCTTCATCAGCACTGGAAGGGCAACCTCTTGTATGTAAATAGGAGCAAACCCCACACTCAGTAACATTGATGATGAAACCAAGTTGGGTGGTGAAACGTCTCCAAGAAAACCACCAGCTCAGAGACCACCAAGGACCCCAGCGTGCTGATGTCACCTGGCATGCAAAGAAGAGTTTGATTTATTTGGACAGGAAACCTGACAGGGTGGTGAACTCATAACCAATGATTGTTTTCTGGCCTGTTAAAGAGTTGAAGCGAACAATTAACTTTCCGACTTGACTTTCCATCTCTGTTGAGTCAACCGCCCAGGACATTTCAAGTCAGATTGGCCGACGGAGGTTTCCTTGCTGCCTTTCAAATCGTTCCTTTTCGATGTCGAGGCTGGGTGGGCGATCACAGCAGAGGACAACTGGCAAACGGGTGCCTGGATGAGCCTTAATTTTAAAATAAAAATAAAGTTGGATTCCAACTGAGGATCACAATTTGAAAAGAAATCACCCTGTGACATAATAACTAGGTTGGAACAGCTTGCTAAACTAACCCTAATTCCATTCCATTCCTCTCGTCTCCTTTCCTTTCCTTTCCTTTCCTTTCCTTTCCTTTCCTTTCCTTTCCCTTCCCTTCCTTTCCTTTCCCCTTCCCTTCCTTTCCTTCCCTTCTCCTTTCCTTTCCTTTCCTTTCCTTTCCCTTCCCTTTCCTTTCCCTTCCCTTCCCTTCCCTTCCCTTCCCTTCCTTTCCTTTCCTTTCCTTTCCCTTCCCTTCCTTTCCTTTCCCCTTCCCTTCCTTTCCTTCCCTTCTCCTTTCCTTTCCCTTCCTTTCCTTTCCCTTCCCTTCCTTTCCTTTCCTTCCCCTTTCCTTCCCCTTCCCTTCCCTTTCCCTTCCTTTCCTTTCCTTTCCTTTCCTTTCCTTTCCTTTCCTTTCCTTTCCTTTCCTTCCCCTTCCTCTTCCCTTCTCACTCCTGACTGCAGTTCTCCTGGCATGCTTTTTCAGAGGTGGCTTTCCATTGTCTCCTTCCTAGGGCCGAGAGGAAGTGATTGGCCCAAAGCCACCCAGTTGGCTTTCATGCTTAAGGCAGGACTAGAACTCATTCTCTCCTAGTTTCTAGCCTGGCACCTTCACCACTAGACCAAACTAGCTCTCTTTAAACCCCCATCCCCAAAAATTGTCCTCCAGAGGACCCTTTCCTCTTTGGGACATGATTGGCTTCAGAGTGGAAGCCAAGCCAGGGGCCAGGTGTCCCATCCATCACCGAGCTGTTGAAAATGAGAAGGTGAGACTTATAAGGTTGTCTGTGGTGTTAGGGAGACAAATGGGTGACGGATTACAACAGTCAGTTGTTTCTCTCTCTCTCTCTCTCTCTCTCTCTCTGTGTGTGTGTGTGTGTGTGTGTGTGTGTGTGTGTGTGTCTTTTGTGAGCTTGGTGGGAGCTAACGGAAACGGATAGGTTGGTAACTTGATCCCTCCCTGTTACACTGAATAGAATAGAATAGAATATTGGCCAAGTGTGATTGGACACACAAGGAATTTGCCTTGGTGTAAATACTCTCAGTATACATAAAGAAAAGATACATTCGTTAAGAATCAAGAATCATCAGGTATCATCTCATTATCTCTCTCTCCCTCGATCTCTCCTCTACTCTTATTAGTTCTCTACAATATCTATCTGCCTGCCTGCCTGCCTGTCTATTTGTCTGTCTGTCTGTCTGTCTGTCTGTCTGTCTGTCTATCTATCTATCTATCTA